AGTCGACAACTACCGACATGGCTAAGTCCATTCGTCAATGACTTCATAGATTTCTGTCATGTTCTGGTCTGGCCGCCCCTAAATTTCTTCCAACCTATTCCTACACCACAAAACAAAGCTCATTGAGGCAGTCGGTGGTTAGGCATACGCAACACATGTCCCAACCACCTCAACTGATGAAGTTTCACTACTCCATCTATTGATCTGCCATTCTTAGCTAGCACCCGATTCCTAATAACACCATTACTTACTCGGTTGTCCCACGGTATACGAGCAATGCTTCTTAAACATCTATGATCGAAAACCAGTAACCTACGAATATCTTCTACTCTCACTGGCCATGATTCACAGCCATAAAGTATGGCGGAACGAACTACTGCACAGTACATTCGTCCTTTATTCAACAAGCGGATATCTCGCCTACGCCATAAGTGATGCAGGTTGACAAAAGCCAATCGAGCCTTCTGTATCCGAGCTGAGATTTTGTCAGTCACTGATGAGACTCCGCAGATAAGTGAAGTGGTCAACACGCTCAACTACTTCACTCCCTATCTTATGATTATGTAATGTCATATGATGGAAAAACGAAGCATGAAAACCAAATCGTGGTTTCATTCAGTGTTCCAAGGTCATATAGACTGATATCCGTCAAATTATTAGTACTGTAAGTATTAGATGTACTTTTAATATCGAATTTATATGTTCAAAAGTAAATGTTTAAATGATTTCATTCACTGATTAAAATTCATAACAACTATTAAAAAAAATGTATTGAAATGTTTACCTGAGCAATATAATAAAGATACTGTAGAACAGGAGCTTTACGCAATAATAAACCATGATTGATACTTTCAGCCAACAGGAAACAAGTAACTAAATGATTAATATTACCTGCTTCACCACAATGTGGTCTAAATGAGAATGTATTCAGACCTCGATGACTAAAGAGAAAGAAAAAAAAAATATAACAACACATCAAAACATGTGACCAAGTTAATGTATTCTGATTATAGAAATAAACGAAAAGCGAATATTAAGAACTAGTGTTATTTACGACAGAAAAACAGAACATGGATACATTGTAAAAAACAAATGGTCTACGAATTAATTATCACATGGGTAAACAAACAATACTTTATGACTAGGTGTTTTTTAATGTCTACAGACAAGAATATAGGCATAGTTATTATTATGACTGCAAAAAAACTGGTTGTTATAGACTTCATTTCACGCATAAAAATCATTCAGGCGTAAAATAAAAAACTAAATAAATAAGTAAGTGAGAAAAAGACTACAGTTATAAGAACACAGCTTTTTAGTAACATGTCATAACTGCAATTATTTCGATTACCACAGGTTATATTGGCGATTGTAGACTTTTAAATGATAGAAACATCATCTATTCATTTCTAAAACCAATATAAGTGGTATTATTTATTATACTATTAGTTGAGGTGGTAAATGTGACAATTCTATGGAAATAATTATCTAACTTCACTTAGATTATACTAGCAACAAGTGTGTATGTAAGGAGAATAAATTCTAATTTTGACAACGAAAGAAAACTCATTTACAACTATTGTTTTCAAAGAAATGAAATGAAATGAACATAGTTTAATTTAGTATACAATTGATTTAACACACAAGTACATATAATCAAATTTTAGGTACATGAAATAATCTTAGAAAAAAAAGGAATTTTTTTAGAATAGTTTCAGTCATGTACTGAATTAATTTGACAAACTTTTTCGTTAGATCATTTGAAAATGGTTTAGTTAGAAATGAATACTACCATGTAACTTATCATAGTAAAAAATATTCATCAGTCAGTCAAACTCATGTCTCATTTCCTAATTTAGAAGTAAGGAACTAAACTACTCGGCTTTTTAACTTGCATTTTATTCAATAACATCTACCGTAGTAGAATTAAGATTTATACTTAGCAAATTAGCAATAAAAGTGTGTATACTAGGTAAGATGGAGATAAGGAAAAACTATTGCTACTGTGATAAATATGCGTGTATATATGCAATATCCTCATGAATAATTGAATAAATATCCATAGTTAACATTCACTCTAAGAATTATTCAGTAGTTTAAAAGCATATTTCAAATTTATCGCTGTGTTTACTTAGAGTGAATGTTAACTATGGATATTTATTCAATTATTCATGAGGATATTGCATATATACACGCATATTTATCACAGTAGCAATAGTTTTTCCTTATCTCCATCTTACCTAGTATAACACTTTTATTGCTAATTTGCTAAGTATAAATCTTAATTCTACTACGGTAGATGTTATTGAATAAATGCAAGTTAAAAAGCCGAGTAGTTTAGTTCCTTACTTCTAAATTAGGAAATGAGACATGAGTTTGACTGACTGATGAATATTTTTTACTATGATAAGTTACATGGTAGTATTCATTTCTAACTAAACCATTTTCAAATGATCTAACGAAAAAGTTTGTCAAATTAATTCAGTACATGACTGAAACTATTCTAAAAAAATTCCTTTTTTTTCTAAGATTATTTCATGTACCTAAAATTTGATTATATGTACTTGTGTGTTAAATCAATTGTATACTAAATTAAACTATGTTCATTTCATTTCATTTCTTTGAAAACAATAGTTGTAAATGAGTTTTCTTTCGTTGTCAAAATTAGAATTTATTCTCCTTACATACACACTTGTTGCTAGTATAATCTAAGTGAAGTTAGATAATTATTTCCATAGAATTGTCACATTTACCACCTCAACTAATAGTATAATAAATAATACCACTTATATTGGTTTTAGAAATGAATAGATGATGTTTCTATCATTTAAAAGTCTACAATCGCCAATATAACCTGTGGTAATCGAAATAATTGCAGTTATGACATGTTACTAAAAAGCTGTGTTCTTATAACTGTAGTCTTTTTCTCACTTACTTATTTATTTAGTTTTTTATTTTACGCCTGAATGATTTTTATGCGTGAAATGAAGTCTATAACAACCAGTTTTTTTGCAGTCATAATAATAACTATGCCTATATTCTTGTCTGTAGACATTAAAAAACACCTAGTCATAAAGTATTGTTTGTTTACCCATGTGATAATTAATTCGTAGACCATTTGTTTTTTACAATGTATCCATGTTCTGTTTTTCTGTCGTAAATAACACTAGTTCTTAATATTCGCTTTTCGTTTATTTCTATAATCAGAATACATTAACTTGGTCACATGTTTTGATGTGTTGTTATATTTTTTTTTTCTTTCTCTTTAGTCATCGAGGTCTGAATACATTCTCATTTAGACCACATTGTGGTGAAGCAGGTAATATTAATCATTTAGTTACTTGTTTCCTGTTGGCTGAAAGTATCAATCATGGTTTATTATTGCGTAAAGCTCCTGTTCTACAGTATCTTTATTATATTGCTCAGGTAAACATTTCAATACATTTTTTTTAATAGTTGTTATGAATTTTAATCAGTGAATGAAATCATTTAAACATTTACTTTTGAACATATAAATTCGATATTAAAAGTACATCTAATACTTACAGTACTAATAATTTGACGGATATCAGTCTATATGACCTTGGAACACTGAATGAAACCACGATTTGGTTTTCATGCTTCGTTTTTCCATCATATGACATTACATAATCATAAGATAGGGAGTGAAGTAGTTGAGCGTGTTGACCACTTCACTTATCTGCGGAGTCTCATCAGTGACTGACAAAATCTCAGCTCGGATACAGAAGGCTCGATTGGCTTTTGTCAACCTGCATCACTTATGGCGTAGGCGAGATATCCGCTTGTTGAATAAAGGACGAATGTACTGTGCAGTAGTTCGTTCCGCCATACTTTATGGCTGTGAATCATGGCCAGTGAGAGTAGAAGATATTCGTAGGTTACTGGTTTTCGATCATAGATGTTTAAGAAGCATTGCTCGTATACCGTGGGACAACCGAGTAAGTAATGGTGTTATTAGGAATCGGGTGCTAGCTAAGAATGGCAGATCAATAGATGGAGTAGTGAAACTTCATCAGTTGAGGTGGTTGGGACATGTGTTGCGTATGCCTAACCACCGACTGCCTCAATGAGCTTTGTTTTGTGGTGTAGGAATAGGTTGGAAGAAATTTAGGGGCGGCCAGACCAGAACATGACAGAAATCTATGAAGTCATTGACGAATGGACTTAGCCATGTCGGTAGTTGTCGACTACCTGGTTGGGGTCCGCGAGATGATAATAATCGATGGTTAGAGACCCTGAATGACATGGCTCGAAACCGTCTGCAATGGCGCCGGTGCATCCATTCGTTGTGTTCTCTCAAATCTTAATCTTCTGAATTTTTCAACACCTCTTGTTTTGTCTTTCTAAACTTATCTCACTGAATCATACTTCTTGAATAATATCTTCTAACCCTAACCTCTCCGATTACTTCTAATACCTTTACTACCTCTACTAATATTGGATTTGAATCGACGATTACATCTCTGTGTTAATGTGGTATGGCGAGATGAACTGATGTACTTACGTACGAAGTTCTACGTTGCATCTGACTGACTGACATAATCATAAATACCAAACTACCATTACTCCAAGTCAGATGAATGACTGTCTATAGTCATTTCAAGGAACTTTTACTTAACAGTAAAGTGATTAATTACATAACTGACTAAAATTAGTGAAGACAAATAATAACCTGCTGTCAATGAGGAATAATTTATCTTTATTTGATTTCTGTGAAGTATTTTTATGAAATTATAACAATTAAATGTCTTTATGTATAGTTTCGGTAAAAAAAAGACGATTAGAACATATGAAATCTGTTACTGAAAAAAGCTTTCATTTTTTCCTGTTCATCTGATCTGTTGATGACAATTTAAAATGATATATCTGAATTCCTATGAATTTCCCGTTGTTATTTATAATGAATTTTATCCAAATGTTTTCATTACTCTTTTTTTTTCCTAATACCTCAAACCATTGACCAACAAACACATCAATAGATTGGAATAGCCATGTCACCTTTAAGTAATAATTCCTTATTTTTGGATTATCATCGTAATCCATTGAATGATTTTCTATCACGTGGTCTATTCGTCAGTCTTAGCACGGATGATCCTTTACAATTTCATTTTACCAAAGAACCATTAATTGAAGAATATAGTATAGCTGCACAAGTATGGAAATTCACATCTACCGATATGTGTGAATTAGCACGTAATAGTGTATTAATGAGTGGTTTCTCTCCTTTGGTAGGTTAATATTATCAATAATCATAATGTTTGTTTATGTGATAATCTAATTTCTATGCTTTTTTTCTTCATTAAAACGTAGTGTTAATTTTCACTATTTTTGTCCTTTTAAGGCACATCTTGTCATTAAGTTACGTGTAAGACAAAACATTAGAAAACTACGTATTTAATGTGAGAGAGATTTCTTCTAAGATCAATTATCATGTAGTATTGTATACATCTTGTTTGACGTTGGCAATAATGAATGTCTATCATTGGTCAATATTTTATTTCGGTATACTTAGTTCCGTTTATTATGGTTGAATAAAACAAGAATAAAGCATTAGACAGAAAAACATGAATTGATTTTATTTCACAAGGTTCTCATCAACTGCTTACTTTGTACTTACTTACTTACGTCTGTTACCCTCAACGGAACATAGGCCGCCGACCAGTATTCTTCAACCCATTCTAGCCTGGGTTGTTCATTCTTCTCATATTTGTCTTCATTATTCGGCCTAATGTGTTTTTTGGTCTTCCTCTTTCCCTTCGACTTTGTGGGTTCCAAGTAAGGGCTTGCCTTGCGATGCAGTTGGATGCTTTCTTCAATGTGTATCCTATCCACTTCTAGCACTTCTTCCTGATTTCTTCCTCCACTGGGATTTGGTTTGTTCTTTCCCAGATTTCAACTGCTTACAACTGATATTACATATGATAAATCGAAATGATTATAAAGTTTTCATACTGATAACAGTAAAAATAAATATAAGCCATCATTGTGGAGTAAATAAGATTGAAGATATCTAAAGAGTGTTCTAAGTCATGAGAGAGGATTCTGGTCCATCAACTAAGAGATGCTAACAAGAGATGCGATTTCAAATAAAAAAGAGTGTGTGTGAGAAAATTTACAAGAATGATGTAATACACTGACAATGAAATTCATATGGTAAAGTAAGATTTACAACTGTATGAATAAATTTGACTGGAGGCGTTTTGAGAAAAAAAAATTGTTGAAAAAATGTTAGTCTATCAAAGTGATGAGCTGTATCACAGGGATGTTTTGAAATGGTTTTGCTCGACAATAATTTTGGTTTTTAAGATACTATGGCTTGTAAGCAGCTTATTAGAACCATACAAATTAAAATTTTTATTTGGGGTTTGTGAACTGATGTTACATGCAGATTATTTTTATTGATTCTCAAAAAAAGTTGATAATTATTCGATCGGACTAAAAAAAGCTAATGGCCAGATTTCCAGTTAACAATATTAGAGTAAGTTGTCAGATTCTAGATTATTTCAAATAAACGTATGTATCTACTGCCAGGAAAGTCCTACTCACTGCTTTCTTGTATCAGAAAT